GGGGGGGGGGGGGGGGGGGGGGGGGGGGGGGGGGGGGGGGGGGGGGGGGGGGGGGGGGGGGGGGGGGGGGGGGGGGGGGGGTACGCCTCTACCGCTTGCACGGGTTATTCTCCCGCTATCATGACTTCAAACATACGGCATGACCGGCATCGCATGGAATTTAGAGGCCGACGGGCGACATTGTTTGTGCAGGCTCGACTCTCGCATCGCCACATGCGCTGGAACCGATTTCGGGAGTGTACGCAGGCCTCTCTCCTTATGGGGTCGAGGGGCATGTGGTGTGCATACTCTCTGTCATGGCGAAGAGAGAGGTCACTCCGTCTCTGGTGCCCGCGTTCATCCTCGCCAAGTCTGTTTTACCCTTCAGTGCTTAGGCTGGCAAATCTTGCCGAAATCCTTCACCCGACATTATATATGTACACCGTCAAAGCAGTCACGCATACCGTTTTTGACGTAAAAAACCACATCCCCAAGGCCGACTCTCCAAACTCGGATTATCCTGCAGCAAAAAAAACTCGAGAATAACACACCGTTGCATTCTTCTCATGTAGGGCTTCCCGAAAATATTTAGGTTTGATTTGGGCATTCTCCCTGTCGTGAAGTGTTCCAAGGCTTGAAATCGGTCCACGGGGAGTGGTATCTCATGCAACCGACGGTATATCTCGATACAGCAGTTGTAGTAACGGGATACAGCAGTAGTGGTACCGGGTGTTGGCGGAGAGCGCGTGTGAGTGTGCTGGAGAGGTGCAATCTACTCACGAGTACCGTCGTATGTAGGTTCATGCCCCCGTCAGTAGCCACCCCGTGGTATTCAAGCGCAAGAAAAACTCCTTCGATGCAAGTGTATTAAGAGTAGCATTGTGCCCATTTTGTGCGAATCGGTTGCTGCTGTATTGAAGCACGACCGATGTGTACAACAGTAGTGGGCGGAACTCGCCAACAAGATTCGAACATATTGCACTGTCTGACATGACATGTTCATACATCATTGCTCGAGCGCATGCTCAGATTTCCTCCACTGTTTGACGTGTTTGAAGAAGCGGCAATGATTCTCAACGCTAATTACACGCTGCTCGCATCGTCTTCTGCTTTCTTTTTTTAGCCCGCTGTATCGTTGCATCTGCTGCTATACCTATTTCAAGTTCTCGCGCAACTGCGATTTACCCTGCACCGGTATACTCGAAAGTGGTAGACCCTACTCACAAGTTTCTCCTGCCCCGTCCTCTTCGTTCTCACCCGCCCTTCGCTGTCTACACAAACGCACAGGCAACGCTTCTCGGCCAGTTGCAAACTCTGCAAAAAAAGGAGGAGCAGCTACGAGAGGTTCTCTTGATCCTGCTGCGTACGACTGCCCTGCAACCGCCGATACTGCATCCACCGCAGTTGCAAGCACCCACTCCCGCTGCCAGCCCTTCGGCCTTGCAGCCTTCTGCACCCCCGACCCAACTGCCGGCTTCGGTGGGCACATCGGCCGCGCCATCTCGAGCTCTTCCAACTACCAGCAGCCCTCGCCGCCGCCGGCCTTCCCAGGTGGAGACGGCGGCCCGTCGAGCGAGCGCCCGGGTTGGTGCAGCGGCGTCGGGACCAGGAGCGGCTTCGGCTTCGGACTCGTCTGCTTCTTCTTCTTCCTCTTCTTCTGGTGTGTTCGATCCTCCCATTCTCCCACCTTTCGTGCCCGTCGCGCCGACGACTGGAGCATCCAAAACTGTGTCGCTGCATGAGGCGCTAGGCATTCCGCCTCCGGCTAAGGCCGGGGCCGGGGCCGGGGCCGGGGCCGGGGCCGGGGCCGGGGCGGGGGTGGGGGCGGGGGCGGGAGCAGGGACTTCTTCGCGGGGCGTGCCGTACAGGCACGGGCAACACGCTCTGTACAGACTAACAGCACCACCTTCCGGTGGCAACGTCTCGGCAAGTGGTGGTGCTAGAGATTCCGTAGCCGCCAGCGGGAGATCTCTCGGTCTTGCGACCACAGCGGGTGCTGGGCTCGAGAATCGATCCGGTGCTGACGCTGCTTCGAGTTCCAGCCCCGAAGGGTTTGATGTTGCAAGTTCTTCCTCAGGGTTTGGCGAGACATCTTCTTCCCAGCGTACATCTATTCGGCCAGTGACGGGGATAGGGGTCGATGTAGCCAACGGCAGCGGAGTACGCGTAACACCACACGGAGTAGACGGAGAGCATGGCGATCAAGGTGTTGCATCTGGCTCGTCGAGGGGCGACGCTGCTGAGGAGAGCGAGGGTTCTCTGCCGGCGGAAGCCCCACGCCCAGGTGCCGTCGCTGTCGGAACGGTAGCAGAACGCGGGGGTGGCGGCATGGTAGCCACATCCACTGTTGACAGCAACGGCTCGACAATACCAACCGAAGGGGTTGTCAGGAATGATGAGCAGCAGCCGAGAAAAAGGGGAGCGTCGGCCCAACGGGAGACCGTCTCGAGGCAAGAAAATGGGTGCGCTTCTCCTCGTTCGACAAGTGCTGCGGAGGCCGTCGGCGGGGAGAAAGCCACCGTTTCCGGAGAGGATGAGTGTCCGGCCGCGCCAGCAACAGATGCAGAGGCGAGCATGGAGGAAAAGTTCACCAAGGAAATGGAGGTTGAACTTCGGCGCGGCAACGCCCGGAATTTTGCGGGACTGACGAAAGCGACTACATCAGCGGCAGCAAGGGCGGCATTAGCCGTCGCGTCGAGGCCCATGGCGTCGTCGGATCGTACTGTGCACGTGCCTTACAAGGTCAAATCGGAAACCGTATCTGCCGCCAGTAACGCCATGGCCGCTTCACCCAACCGTTGGCCAGCTATGCTCGCTGCACAAGAATTAAGCGCCCTCACCGTGTGGGAAAAAAACTTGATCGTGGACGAAGCGGAGAGATGCGTGAAACGCAAGTCCGTGGATGCGGCGGAGCGCTTGCCTGCACCGCGACCTCCAACCCCCGCGTCGAGGGCTGCAGTTCCCGCAGGGGTAGCGGGGTCGGTTACGATAGACCACGGTGATCAAGACTGCAGTCATGGGGATGCGTCTCCGCCTGCGTTGCCACCGCCTGAGGTGAGAGTGCTTCGAACAGCCCACCCCGAAGAGGTCGCAACACCGGCGGCAAACTTGTTAGCGGCATCGCCAGCACCGGCAGGAGGGGTCGCCGGCGATTACGGCCCACAGCAGCAGCAGCAGATACAGCAACAGGAGGAGGGGCGACCACCAGCTGCCCAGCGACCACCTGCTGCTGACCTGTCGACTGAACCACGCAAGACGACAGCACTCTCGAGTGCGACGACCGCGATCTCCCATGCTACTGTCGGGATCGGCCAAGGTAGCGGCGATGGAGTTCCAGCACACAGCAGTAGGCCGGTGAGGAAGCGCAGGAAGAGCGCGGAGGCCGGCGGGTGGTCGCGGTACAGCAAGGAAGACTTTGTGTTGGGGGAGGCACTGGTGCTGGGGTTGAGCTCAGAGGGAGAGGAGGACGAGGACGAGGAAGAGCAGGAGCCTGAGGAGGAGGAGGACTACGCGTTTCAGGGACAACGGCCCTCCCGCCCTGAGGGAGAAAAAGAAATGCGGTCGGCGAACGGCAGAGCCGGTGGTGAGGACGGGGGGTGGGGTGAGGAGGAGGACGCGCTGCTGGTCGACGTTGGTGGAGACGACCCTGAAGACGACGAGGACGCCCTGGATGACGCCGGTGTCGGGACCACCAGGAAGAGGAAAGGCGCGGTGGGCCCCGTCAAGAAGCGGAGCCCACCGAACGCGTGGAAGAGGCGGTGCGCCGACGGCACTTGCCAGCTGGGAGCGAGCTTTGCGATGCGTGGGGAGCCGGCGAAGTACTGCAGTGCTCACAGCGACGCCGGAATGGTGAACGTGACTCATCGGCTCTGCATGGACCCACGGTGCGGGCCCCGAAGACATTTCCTGGTGGCGGGGTGATGTGTATAAGTACATTGCTAGCAATCCCCGCGTAGGGCAAGCTTGTTTGCCACCAAAAGTTGAAACTCGGTGTCAGGATCGATGCGAAAACATTTACGGCTAGCATGTACACAGGGATGAGCTTGTTTGCTGTGATTGCTCTGTGGGGTGACAACGGTCCACACACGGTGCCGAGTAGGCACCGTCCTTCCCCGGCGAGTCACTTTGAACAGCTTCATACTCTACGCGGTGCTTACATCTTGTTCGAGTTAAACAGCCGATTTTGTGTCAAACGGAGAGGTAGGTAAAATACGTGTGCCAAGATTGTCCTCTTTTCCCACCCCATTCCCCCCGATGTGGTTCGAGTTTGTCTGTAATTGCCCAGTCAGACGTTCTGCAGAAGTGGTGCCAGTTTTCATCCTCTGCAGTCGGGCGAAGTGCCAGGCGTGGTCTAAACGTGTTGATGACCCCCGATTCCTCTAATCGCTTTTTCCGCATGTTTTCGCCTCGATGCTGCTTGATGCAGCTGCAACCATCAGCCGAGCTACAACATGCCAGGGACGCAGAAGGCTATTTACTGTCGCACGCACAAGAGGGCTGGGATGATCAACGTGACCTCTCCCAAGTGTGAAGCCGACGGGTAAGAAAAAGAGTTTCGGTTTACGGAGGAGCGGAGTCTCTGCTACCTGTGTTTCATGAGGGTGGGAATATGAGAGGGTTGCAACCCTCTGGTAGCAACCAAGCCCCAGTGGCATATTTGGGGTTTCGGGTTCTAGTGGTTGATCGGTTTTTGAGATATTTCCAAACACCACTCGCAGCCAGACAGTTTGTAGTATTCTTCAAGCGATTCTCGGTGTCGGAAAAAAACTGGGGATTATGCAGGATCAATTCCTCGCCACCACGGAACGAATCAAAACGTTTTGTTTCTCGTCGAGACAACTTGCAAGCGGGGAAGTACTGGTTTGCAGCAGTGGGAAAAACACTCTTTTCCGTCTAAATACCGTCATCAACATCGATAAACAACCGCAGCGCAGAGATAAAAAAAACACAACACCCGCCAGAATACCAGCTGTACAGAGAAGATGACCTCGAAGTGACTTATGTCGGATTTCCTCCTCTGAAAACGAAAAGGAAAAGATGTTGCATCTGTCGTGCGAGTTGATCATGCAAGACTCCGGAGCTGTCGCAAGGTGTTAAGAGATTTTTCCGGCGCACGCCCCACCTGCGTCTGCTGGCGGTTTTTAACCCCCTGTAAACAGAAGGTATCGACCTCGGCAGACGATTGAGCAGAAGTGACCCTTTGTCAAGGTACTGCTTTTTGCAGGCACTCTCCATTCTCCCCTCCCCTCCTTGGGGGCTACGCTTTCTCGTGGGCTAAATAGGCACTATGAAGGATTCCAGGGGTAAAAGGGAACCCGCCCGGCTGGCGGCGAGTCGATTTTCTCGTGCAAACTATTTTGAGCATGCTTCATAGGTAGGAGGCGTTCGATTTTTTGTTTTGGGAACCCTTGTCTAAAGCTCGAATGGTGTGTTTTTGTCTCCACCAAGTGCTGCATGCAGGCGGGCAGCGGGGTCGAACCCTTGTCATCTGCCACCATAGTTGGACATGTCGCCGCTAAGCCATTTGGAAAGCGGAAACAGTCCGCGACAGACATTGGGGAAATGCGAACCTTTTTACCGACCATCTCCACTTTCCCGTTGATCTTTATTTTTTTATTCTTTTTAGCGGTTGCGGCATGCTATGCGGTGTTCAAGTTCGGATGGTCCTGGTAGTGCCACTGACATCATGCCAGCATCCACTGCTTCAAATTTTCCCCCCATATACAGCAACAACTGTCTCTGGAAGTGAAAGCACCAGAAAATAAATTAATTCATACGCAGCTGTCATCCGTACGCAAGGAAGTAAGCACAAGATGCCGAAAACCCTTAGCAGGATGCAGCTCACCCTTCATGCGACTCGCCGAATATCTCACGGCGCTTCGCGCTTGGTGATGTGAGAGCCTGGTCCGGTGAGAACCCGGCGTGCTCCGTCCCGGCTTTGTAGGGATGCGAGGTCAATGGTCTAACGACTACGGCATGCACGACTATGAGTACCCCCCCCCCCCCCCCATATACAGCAACGGTATTGCCAACGCGCACGCAACCTGCTGCCTTGTCGATTTTCAAACATGCTACTCCGGTGGAATTTTGTGTTCGGGCTTTGCGTGCGCTTTCCCTTTTCCTCGCCGGTGTCTGCACCTCCTGCTCGCTCTCTTACAGGTGCATCAAGCGCCCTAGTTTCGCTTTTCTGGGAGATCACAAAGCCTCCTTCTGCGAAACCCACAAGCTGGTAAGCATAGTGTGTTTCCATATTCTCCAAGTACTTACTAGGAAGGTCGATCTCACGCGCAACAACGTTTGCTGACGTGATCGAACCGTTGTGTGATTTGGTTTCTGCGAATTGTTTTCTTGCCTCATAGATCATCGCAACAACGTTTGTGTGCGTGACTCATTCGCTGCGATCAGCCTGTTGTTTCACTCTCTAATTGCACGGTCCGTCCTCCGAGCATGACGGCGAACACAAGCATTTGTCGCAGCAGCGGCCATTTCCCCCCGGTTCGGTGGGTTCATCCCCCGCGCGCTTGCATTGGCGCTGTTTGGCAGGCGGGGATGATCAACGTCCGCAAGAAGCCGCGGAGCAACAGCGGAGGCTCGAGCACCCCGCAACCCCGCCAACGGGTGAAGCAAGCGCCGGCCTACCAGTCTCTGCCAAGCGCGGTGGGTCTTGAGGTCGGGTCGTCGGCGTGGAGTAGCGCAGCAGCAGCCGCAGCCGCGAAGGCGAAAGCCGCCGCAGCCGCCTCAGCCGCGGGGGGGAGCGCGCGCAGGTGATGTCCGTTCGTCAAGACGCTCTGTGGCTGTTGATTGGAGAGACGAAAGGCTTGCGGCCGGTTGAAAAGGGTGGCCCAGCACGTAGCACGCCATGATGTAGGTGTGAGTGGCACACCGGTTGGGTCCTTGTTTTATGTCGGTTGGCTCTGAGGGGCCTATGCACATCGATTTCGTTGTAACAGACGTTGGTGTCAGGAGTGTTTGTCTTGCTGACTCCTTCGCATGTTCCTCATGCCAGGCCACGATGGAGGTACACGTTGTATGTGGACGGTCCGTCCGTGGCTGGAACAAAAACACGCTGATTTGGCCAAATGCTTGTTCAAGAGTGGACCTGGTGACCGGTAGTCGAAGTTCTGCAAGTGCACCATGTCCTCTGCGCTATTTTGGCTGCCATTTGCGCCGCTCGTGCCATAGCGAGCGGCCACCCATTTGTCGTCTTGAAGCATCGACATTCCTAGCACACCCAACTCACTGCTCTTTCCCCGATGGTGTGCTGTGATTCATTTCACTCCAACGTGTTCATTTCAACACCGCACATGCCAGCTCTCGCCACTTCTTGTCCGTCTTGTGCGGTTGCGTTGTCGATGATTCAACGAACCTATCTGTTGACACAATGCCCGAACGTAAACGCGAATGCCCCCCCCCAACTTTCCCCTTTTCTACTGCTCCTCTCAGTTTCGACTCCCCCTTTCTATCAGACTCTCCATCTTCAGCGACAGCAGCAGCAGCGGCAACGCCTACTACCACCGTGACCCCCTCGTTCGCCTCGGTGCTGTCGAGCCTTGGCTACAATGTTACCGTCCGCCGGCCGCTTGGCGACGGGGGTGGCGGGGGGTTGGGGGTGGGGGCGGAGGCGGAACGCCAATGAGGACCGACGAGGGCCATTTGCGGTGTAGGCATCCAGGCCGGGACCTCTGCGTCGGATAGGCTCTGAGTCGGATAGGCTCAGCTTCGCGTGGTCGTAGTGATTGTCTTTCGTGATTGAGTTCGAGTTGTTGCCTGGAACGGAGTCAGGCGTGGTTTCGCCATGGCGTTTTTGTCGTGTGGGAAAGGAGCGGTGTTGCTCTTGCGTCGTGTCGTGGGTGTTTCGTGAAGGTCGTTTTGTTGTACTAGGTTTTGTAGAACGCCCGCTTCATCCCACGGTGAGATTCTGGCTCTACGGCGGAAACTGGACAGCGTAGCGTTCGTTTAGGTGGCTCTTGCCTTGTAGGAAACCCCCCGTCGAGACTTTCTTGTTTCATGTCTCTGTACGAGGCCGCTGTCAAGAATTTTCGCCGTGTTTGAAAGCTCTTTGGTGAAGATCCTTGACGAATATCGGTGCCAATTTTGTCAGACGGTTGGCGGCAGCGCCGTGAGTGTCGGGAGGTGCGTGGTGTAGCTTTTCGTGGAGTTTAGGGTATCGTGGAGTGCGTCCCCCATCTGGATGTGCCCGCGACCTATGTGTATGTTGTTGCGTGACGAGGATCCGGGCTCTGTTTCACGTTGACCAAAATGTGGGTGTTGGCCATGTAGAGCTCGGGCCATGAGCTGCACGTTTTGTTGCACGGGACGGTGTCGACCTATCCGACATCGCCGCCATTGCTAGGCGCGCTTGTCTTCTCTCTCAATTCAGCGGCTGCTCCATCCCATGCAGTGCTGTCGCGCAAGGGGCCTCCATGTTTGGGAGGGCCCCGTGCAGCGTGGCAGTGTTTGCCTCGGTGGACTATTCTGCTGTTTTGGCGTGTTCGGTGGACATGACCGTGGCTTAACAGGGTTGGCTGCTCCTCGAAGGACCGAACATTTTTGCACCACGTCAACTCAAACCCGCAGAGGTCGTCATGGGTCGAGAGCCTTGAGAGGCTGTGCGTCGTTCGAATCACCCATTGCCCACCTTCCCACCGAAGCAGCTTGACCCCCGAGTGCGGGCCAGGTATGCAGCGTACGGATGCTGTGCTTTAGGCCCTTACGGAGGCTATGTGTCGAAGGAACTTGAGGGGAGAGAGTGGGGGGCAAGTCTTTAAAATACCTTGGATTATGAGGGTGATGTCTTGCCCACATGGCAGCGATTGCAAAGTGGCGGTGCTCCCTGGAATGTGTGCGTGAAAGTCGCTTGACACTATCAGAATTCCTCGGCGGAGTGACATCAAATGTGTCCTTGGCATGCCCATGTCTTATGCCGATACCCGTCCCAACACGTGCCGGGGCCCGCCTTGGATGTAATGTACTCTCCAGTTCGCGAACCTATTGAGTTGGGCGCACGATATCTGCATTTGCACTGCCAAGAACCTTCCCAAGACCTTGTGGTGTTGATGTCTTGCCGATCTTGTAGCACATTTTGCGTGCAAGGCCATGTCGTCCACTCGTAGCCCGTTGGATCCAACACCCGACCGGGGTAGGCACTTGCTGCGATACTTGATGAGCAGTTTGTACAATACGGTTCGACTTTGGTAGAGGCTTGCAAACCCTTGCAGCCTATTTGGCATCTTGTTTTGAAGGGATTCTGCTGATGATGATATCGTCGTATTGATGTGTGTTGTCATGTACGGACTGAATATCCGTCGTCCTATGTATTACATGCTGTCGCTGTTGTTGTGTGTTTTGCGATATCGGATTTGATGCACCCGATCAAGGCAAGCGCTTTTTTTTGTGTATCGATGTGTTTCGGCTGCCCATCCAAACGTCGTCGACGTCTGGACCAATAACCACTCCGCTACAAAGATTGAACCATGAGTGCCACGTATCCAAGGCCACAAGAAACGAGCCTACGACAACAACCGTCAAACGAACAAGAGGGAAGATGATGGGTTGTGCATAGACCATACCTAGCCTCTCATAGAAGGCTCTCGGCAAGGAAAACTACAGTGCCTCTACCCCCCCTGTTGAGGAAGGATACGTTGATGTTGATGACCCGTTTTCGGAAGGGTAATGTTCGACGCAGTATCCTGCCTCCCTTTGGCAGGTGAGGGGGCTGGTTTCGCTTCATACGACGGCGCAAAATAGCAGCAGGTTGACACGAAACCCGTGACCACTACTGCAAGAACTGGTATTTACCTAGATTTCACAAAACAACCACAGAAAGGGGAGAGGGGGGGTGCTAAACAACACGATACCCTTCAACATCTAACCTAATCAGTGGTTGATACAGCTCCTTCCCGACTCTTACTCAACTATCAATCGCTCCGTCGCTTCACGCTGGGCCAGGGCATGCGCTTCGAGCATAATGCTGCCATCACCAGCGTGCAAGGTATTCCCTTCAAGAAAAACAGGGGCAAGGGTGCGAGAGTGATTGACGAATAGTATTTCGAACCAGAAGTACTTACATGGACTCCCATTGACAGAGAGAAAGGCTGAGTATTACGGCAAGGACAATGTACGTCAAAGAAACGGGGCAATGAACGAAAGTGCGCACGAGAAACATTAGCAGGCCGCTACTGGCCGAACACAATTTGTCGATGCATGCCAACTCTAGATGTGCACTTTGGATGTAAGGCCTACAGGCATAAATGGCGAGGTGGCAACATGCACGGCAATGGAAGGCTGGGAGGAGCTCGAAGCAGCAACTTAATACACGTGCCACGAAATCGAGGCAAAGAAGACGTCAAATGCTTCGCTAATTGGTGGTCGAGATCAAGACGCGTGCGCAGGTGCACGTTCTGCCCCTGGTCGAGACAACCTGAGCTGTTGAAAAACCAAGGGAGACAGCCTTCCTTCATCTTCAAACATTTTTTTTCCTCACCAAAGCCAGAGCAACCCGCGGAGCCCAGGTCAACCCCAACGCCACGCAAAAAAGCCACGCCGACAGAGACCCCCCAACCAGTCCGGCTAATCTCGCTGGTACCTCAGCAGCTTGATCTCGCTGAACAAACGTAGCATCACACACAAAGACATGTTATGTTCGTTCACAACTCAGCCGCGCTAACCTTCCTCGTTAGCCGTGTCTACGTCCACCAGGGTTTGTTGGAGTCGTGTGCAAGACGGAAGATCGTGGGGTTTCGTGGAGTGGGTCGGTACGGGGTCCCTTCCGACATTTACGAAGGTCGTTGGAGGAATGGTAGGCGGGTATTACGCCAAGTCAGCTAGAAGGGAAGGCTTCATGCGTGAAGGCCTTAGTCTCGGGGAATGTGGCAATACGCAATCCGTTGAACCATAGTGCGTCAAATATTTCTGCATCTGCTAGTCTGCCCAACCTCAATAGTGAGCGGGTTTAAATCTAAGAACATCAATGAAACAAAACGTCTGTCAACAGGTTGCCTCGGGTGATTCTTCCGAGGTCAAGAAGCGTGAAAGTTAAGCACACAGGGTAAATGACAAGGGTGGGAGGCCAAGTACGCAGGTTGTGCAACAACCCATCTCTTGCGTGGAGCGGCGGCAAAACATCAGCAAAGAACAACCCACTCACTCTCGTGTGGCTCTCGAGACACTCGCTGCATTTTTGTCTGGAAAAATCTCGCAAAGCCTCTGCCGTCGTCGCCCTTCCCTCCAAAGTCTCCCGTTGACTGTCCAGCTGCGATGAGGGCCCATTTCATGGCCCGTGTCGAGGGCGCGGGCTGGGGGGTTAGCAGCATGCCTCAACTCGTTTCACCACCGGGAACGTACTGAATCTCGAGGATACATTCCTTATACGCCATAAACGTCTCTACCTCGGAGCGAGTGTGCCGCACCACGACAGCAGGACGGGCTAAGATCCTGCAACGGAGAGAAATGGAGGACGACAGATAGGCGCTCACCTGCTGGGAGAGTTGCCGTGCCATCGCCAACGCCACCTGCGACACCGGCATTTCACCCGGGATTCGTTGAAACATAGTGCCGCAACAGGAAGCATCGAAATTAACGTCAATGAACTTAAAAGTGAGTTATGGCAACGAGAAAACAAGCCCCAAAGCTGGCGATTAAAAAGAAAATTACACCACAGAAATCATTGCGTGAACGGAAGCTAGCAGGAAAAATAGTCGGGGCTGGAGTTCCTGAAATTTCGATATATGCTTGTATATTTGCACGGTAGAATCCCTCCCTTCTAGGCAACGATGTTGAACGCGGGGCATGGTACACAAGGGCTATGGTTGGGGCGGGGCCGTGTAGAGCGTCGTGGATCAAGAGCCAAGAGGACGCCCAAAGACCATGAAAGGAAACACGAACAGCCAAAGACTGACGGCGAATCTCAGGGAGAAACAGAAACCGACCACAATATCTGCTTCTTTGGTTTCACCATTCCAACAGGCTGTAGACGACACACGAAACGTGTAGGCTGACACTGATACTGCAAGTCTGAGGAGCTCTACAAGCTCGGCTTGTTTTCCAATAAGAGGGTGGCATCTACGGAGAGTGCTCAGAGTAAATACAGAAAGCTCTCAGCCATGCTTGCCTCAAAACCACACTACGTAACCACGGCCGCAGCCCTTCTTCTCGCTGTGGGCAACGCAGTCTATCAGCGGCAGACAACAGACTCAGCAGAATATTTCCACTGAAGCTAATCAATGCGGTAGGTTTGTCACGAGGGAATGTCTCGACAAGCACCACCAGCGGTTCGCTAAGCGGCGACAAGATGATGTTGAGATAATGAGAAGTCGCTGCGACCGACGAAAGAAAACGTGCAGACTTGCTGTGGACAACCACTTGCAGAAGGGCAAAGTATTGGCAAGTTGACGGATATTGATTGATGCGTCTGCCGTACGGTTTGCGTCACACTAAGGCCTATTGTTAACGCAACGGAAAATTCACGCATTTTGTCACGGAACGGTGAAAAGATTACCCGACTTTTTTTCGCTTGTTCTTTTCGTGATGTCATCGCAAAAAGTACGCTTCCTTCCCTGAATACACGCTTTGCTCGGCACACAACAGGTTGAGTTGGTGTAGCTCACCATAGAGCAGCGGAAAAACCGCAATGAGCAGCACCCGACACAGAGGACAGCACATTTAGAAACATCCTATCCACCCGGCCTGCTGTTTTCAGTTTTCAGTAACAACAGACGCAGGGCAGCATGTCGCAACCTGGGTGTTGCTTCCGATTTCTTCAGTTTGCCGGCTCATTTTTCACGGTTGCGACTCCCTTCTTTGACCACCACCTGCCCAAAGGTAGACGAGCTCAACAATCATAGAGCGGCAGCGGGGACGGCCAGCATCATATAGATGGCCAATCCGAAAGAATTAGCGTCCCGGAGGCCCTGTTGCCTACTGCTGCGTCTGCTGCGTGGTGCCATAGATTGATGTTGACGTGTCCGACCAAAAATAGATCAACTCGCCGCATTTTTCCAACGGCATTTTGGTGAGGTGGCACGCGTCTCTCACACACCTTATTGAGCAGCATCCAAGCCCCCAACACCCACGAAGCAGCACGGCGCCGGGAGTGAGTATCATATAGACAGCCGAACCGAAGGAATCAGCGCGTTGGAGGTCTTGGTGCTGCTGCTGTACTCGTTCTACTGTTTCCATGTTTGCTGTGTGTGACTGAAAAAACTCTCCGGCACCAATAGCAGCAGATGAAGACGAGAGCACCACGCAATGTCTCGTTTTGGACCAAGAACGGACTGAACGCGGCTTCTGCCGCTTGTCCGTCTCCACATCAGACCTGGACGTGAGTCTTCCAGGTCTTGCGAGAGTTCTCAGTGATGTTACAGCGCCCGCGGTGCGTCTGCCCGACCCTGCCCGACCCTTGTGTCGAATTCCCCGGATCCGTGAAAGCAGCAAACCCCCCAAAAAAACTGCTCGCTACTTTCACGGATCGGGGGAAGAACGCCTCCATACATTTGCAAAAGCGCACTCTTCCGTGAAATTTCCGTGTTTTTTTAGTCGTTAATAATATCTAGGCCTAGACTAATGGTCGAGACTCCAAAGGGAGTACGTAGGGGCACCGTGATGATACACGGGGCCCTGCTTCATGTGCTGGGACGCAGCACTCCCTTTTCGCTCAGCCCTTTGCATGGACTATAGCCTCCCTCTTGGGAAGTCAAAACACTACTGAAACAAGTACCACTCGACAAGTGTGCCGTACGGCTGCAAGCACAGCAGTGTACCACCTGTAGTACGAAGTAGGTGTTTTCCGAAATGGTGACACCCAGCAAATTTTTAATGATGCTCTGTCGTCAGAACTCGACGCGCAATGGTACGCATTGAAGGCCGGCAGTCATGGTTGAACCCTATCTAGCGGCAAGCTAACTTCCCGGTGTTCGGGCGACACAGTCAGCGCCCGCACTTGAAGAATTAGTAGTTTTGGTCGAGGCGAGGGTTCTCCATGTGTCGTCTAAAAGGTGGTAAGGTTGAAGGCTGTGCATACGAATGTACAGCAGTACATTTGAAAGTTGGGTTGAGTGAGGGGCGCACCAATTGGTGCTCAGTTCTTATGTTGAGCATGAAGTACTTAATTGTCAAGTTCTTAGGTGCGGGCGCTGACTGTACCGATGGGGCAGTCGCACACGCTGACTTCCAGTACATAGTCTACACATGTCTTGGCTGCAGCAAAGGCATGTCACACGTACAACCGCAGAACACGATTCAGTACCCGATTCCGCGATCCAGTCTACCAACAGCGTAGAACACGAGTGCCATATATCGATTTCGGGTGCACACTCACATCTCGCTGCGAACCCAGCTCTGATTCCCAGTCGCCACTTGTGTGTCCCTCCTCCCCACCGCGCATCTCTTCAATGTTGACCATTCTGTCCAGGATTGGTATACCACCTTGTCCCGCTCTTTTAGAGGGGCAGCCAGGTTAGGCCGCAAGGTCCCTAGAACACTGCTGTAGGCTGTGTTCGACCACCGCAATGGCTTATTCTGGCCAAGCCGCGAGCTTGCCAGCCCTTGTTCGGAATTCGACTTCACCCGAAGCAAACTACTGCACGACACGTGATGCGAGGAGTGTGGAGTGCATGGAGAAGGTCAGAGACGACGACCAGCGGGGTGGGTGGGTCTCACATTTTGGTTCGGGGAGGATGCTTGTCGCGGCGGGATCTAAAAAAAACGGTTTCACGAATATGATTTGAGTCCATCACACCGGTTGTCGCTGGCCGACAATAAAGCCAGGGGCTCAACGATGAGCACGGGCAATGCGTCCCAAGCACTTCGCACAGGTGTAAACTTGGAGCTACGCACGCTGCTTGTTCGGTTTACGAGGAAGGCTAGATGGCCCAGACGCTGATTGGTGAGCGCGTGTTAAGGGTAATTGTACATGCTCTTGGGACGATCCTGCGTCCTTCCTTGCAGCAGCAAACCGGGGGGATACTATTAAGAGGTCGTTCACCTCTCAGAACATCAAGGACGAGGACGGCATGGTCCTTCGGGACCCCACGTTTATTCGCCAACGGTGGGCACGGTGGTTCCACAAGCTTCTCAACACCAAGCCGCCGACCATCGACCTGCATGCGGCTAACAAAGTCAAGCGGTGGCCCACGTGCGTGCCACTCGACAACATCCAATCTCTACTTGAGGTTGAGCAAGCGGTACGGGAAATGGCCAACAAAAAGGCCGTCGGGCCGGACGATCTACCGGCTGAGCTGATCAAGCTTTTCCTGGACGGAGATCAAGGTCTCCTCCGCGAATTCCACGTCATTGTCGTGGACGTGTGGCAGGCGGGGGACGTACCACAGCAGTGGAAGGATGCCACCATCAAAGTGCTGTTCAATAAGGGGGACACGATGGAGTGCGGCAACTACCACCGGGGTATCTAACTCGTTGCACACGCCGGCAAGGTGCTGCTTAAGGTCGTCGCTACACGACTGAGCCGCTACTGCGAGTGAGAGGGCATCCTCCCCGAGGAGCAGAGCGGTTTCCGCCCACACCGGTCGACGCTCGACATGCTGTTCGCCATCCAGCGGCTCCATGAGCTCGTGAGGAAGAAGAGTACCGCGGTGTTCGCGTGCTTCGTCGACCTCACCAAGGCATACGATTCGGTGGACCGAGACCTACTGTGGGACGTGCTCCGACGCTTCGGCGTGCCCCCGAAGATGCTGGCGGTTATTCGCCACTTCCACGAGGGCATGAGGGCGCGCGTCCGAACGGACGACGGGCAG